AAAAAAAAAAAAATGGGGATCATCCCTCCAGTGCCACAAGGACCTGGAGGGACCCCCCCCTAAGATAATATGTCCCAAGGACAACTTAGAATAACTTAGCTTAGCTTGGCTGAGACCGGCCTTCCCTAACCCCATGAACCACTAAGGCAGCACAGTTACGGAAGACAAAAAAACCCGTCTCCGCAAGGTGGATAGCCCACCTGCTGTTAACCTTCTCCTCTACTTCCCACTTCTGAAATTTACCTTGTACTATACCCCTCTTCCACTCTCAGAGCTACTGCTCTCTTCTCTCTGTATAACCAACCAACCCTTAGTAGTTGACCCCCTCTCCGTGATGTATGGCGGCGCTGGTTGACCTAGACCACGAGGCATACACTGGGGAATTGGTGGGGTCGGCTACTCAGCGACAAACAACGTTTGTAGGGGAGAAATCCACTACAGGACCCTCGATTGCTTTGAAAACCCACTTTGTTCTCGTCCGTGGATATGGTAAGAGCTCTCATCATCAGCCAAGTATCATCAGCTAGACGTACTTACAGAACTCTATCTACAAGCCGGTAAGGATATATTTATTTATGTAATTGGTATGTAATTAATCACAGCTTTCATCACCTATGTAGCAGTTACTTACACCTTAACCGGTTTCTTTTATCAGTGTATCAACAGAAATGATTAGATAAATGAAATCTTTACACCCTGTTCATTTGTTGCTTTCATTTTTCCAAAGGGCGAAGTATACATTATTTTCCTGTGCACTTATAAAGGACTATGCAAGTAACCTAGAACGATCATGGCAATTATTTACTGATTTAGTTATTATTGGGTTTGCAGGGGAGACTACACAAAAGTTGATCAAATCTCCTATTGCAGGTGGTGATGTAACGACCACGGTCTTACACGTCAGTTAGCGCCATAATCAAATGATTCCTATTACGCACAATAGCCCACAAAACATGTAACTCTACTTTCGTTTGAGTCCTCCATCTGAGGAGTCCGTTTTCTCATCACTTTAAGACACCTCAGTCCTCCGTTATCCCATTTTCTCTGACTTACTGAAACCAACCTCTCTATAAAATGAATTTGAGTGTGAGAGAGAATACCCTTGTTTTGAGTCAACTTAGATACGTCTGTTTACAGTTGGAACATACAAGATCCATTGTGAGTGGTGTTGAACGCTTTAACTGTCCTTATTGTTAGTAAAACGTGTCAAGTAAGTGAGTGTCGAGTTGGCCAGCTAGAGTGGCGTATTTTATGTCGTCCGTGGGGATATCCATGAGTTTCTGATCGCGCCTGAAGTTATATCATTTTGTCGCCCCGACATCAGAGAATCTGATGTTTATAGTTTAGTTAGTGTCAGTTGTCTATTTAAGAAAGTCATTAATGTCCTGAACTATTCTTTCAACTGGTATAATCTCCAAGATCTAGCGTCTCCCCGTGAATAGCGCCTTGTTCGCCTCAGGCCTGAGCTTGCAGAATTAATGTTATCAACGTGTATATTCCATCTTTCCCTGGCAAGCTCAACCTCTGATTAGATTATATGAATAGACATAGGAAATTACCCTGATCAAAGAACACCGGAGTTCATAACTAAGTATACAGTGATCCAAAATGGTAGAGAAGTTATGTTGTTGGTAAGATCGACCCTTCTGGTATGAATACGGAGGCCCAAGCTGCCCTGCGGGTGCACGTATATACCTCTACACAAGGGAGAATCATGCATTCGTGACTCTTCCTCAACGTCTCTCCAGGTATGTTAACGTGTGTTCCCCGCCGCCTATTAATTCAGTTTAACTTAGTCAATTTTGGTGAATATCAGTGTTCATGTGTTAACATAGTGAATTCTGTGCCAATTAAGTCGAGTAACGTAGAGATTTTGATATCGTCTGAACCGTTGCCAGACGTATGTTTTGTATAGTTGAAGTTAGACATTTACGCATTCGTGACTCTTCCTCAACGTCTCTCCAGTGTGCTGAGCTGAATACTCATCGGCTACCGTGGGTCGGTAACCGGGTTGGACGATGCCGTTATTTCGACAGGATTAAACTGGGAAGTCCATTTCCTGCAAATCAGGCGCCAGCTCCCTTTTTTTTTTTTTTTTACGGGAATTAGCCCACCCGGGCACAGGTCAAACGATCCACAACGGAGCCTGGGGGGGGCGAAAAAAAAGAACGGAAAGAAATTGAAAATATAGAAAAAAAGGTTATACTGTATTAATCTACACCACGATGATGCCGGAAAACCAGCTTTTTAAAGTAAGACAGATTGTAAGAGCATGGAAACACAGAAGAAGGCAGAGCATTCCACAGTTTGGCTGTGTGAGGAACGAAGGAGGTACTATAACGGGTTATTCTCGTGTGACCGACATCCACAGAGAAATGGTGGGCACCGCGGGCAAGACGTGTGTTACGAACCCACGGCCTTGCCGGCGGTACACAGGATGCCAAATCCACTGAACATTGCCCTTTAAAGTACCTGTAAAAGAGAGAGAGTGAAGCAACATTGCCGCGAAGAGAAAGGGGAGATAGATTGTCGACTAAAGGAGGAGAGTTAATAAGACGAAATGCCTTTGATTCCACCCTATCTAATAGTTGGACAGAAGAAGAGCCACCCCAGATATGAGAGCAGTACTCCAAGTTAGGACGAATGAATCCCTTATATACTTGGAGCAACTGCTCAGGAGTGAAGTAGCTACGGCATCTGTACAGCATTCCCAACTTTCGGGAGGCAGCTTTAGTTATACTAAGGATGTGTGATTTCCAGGACATATTGGAGGAAATGGTGAGGCCTAACATATTTATTTCAGAATTTGGGAGGATGATTGCGTCCTGAAATGTAATTGGTGGGAGATCGTCTACTTTACAAAGTGTAATTGGTAAATATTGAGTTTTGTTACTATTGAACTTAACCAAGTTTGTATCTCCCCATTCAGAGATGCTGCACAGATCCGCGTTGATAGAAGTAATGATATCGGTTCTAGAAACAGATCTAGTTTGAGAGTTAGGAGGAAGGGGAAAATGTGAGGAAGAGTAAAGAGTAGAATCATCGGCGTAAGAATGGATAGAATTAGGTGTAGTGTGAAGTAAATCATTGATAAAAAAAAGAAAGAGAGTTGGTGAAAGAACAGAACCCCGTGGGACGCCACTATTGGTAGAGAAAGAGCGAGAAATCGATCCCTCGACAACAACTGCCATGGATCGATTCTCAAGGAAGCTAGAGATGAGAGAACAAAGTGGGGGAGAGAAACCAAAAGAGGGAAGTTTAGATAGTAAAGACTTGTGCCATACCCTGTCAAATGCTTTGGAGATGTCGAGGGCCACGACAAAAGTTTCCCCATAATCCCTAAGAGAGGATGACCAAAGATGGGTGCAATAGGAGAGCAGATCACCAGTAGATCTTGCCAGGCGAAAGCCATACTGGTGATCCGACAAAAGAGAAAGGCGTTCAAGGTGACGGAGAAAATGGGAGTTGAAGGTAGTTTCGAAAATCTTAGAGAGGGATGAAGTTAGGGCAATGGGGCGATAGTTAGAGGGATTAGAATGGTCACCCTTCTTCGGGATGGGCTGAACCAAGGCATGCTTCCAAGAAGAAGGAAAAGTTTTCGTTTTGAGGCAAAGGCGAAAGAGGCGAGCAAGCACAGGGGCCAGGGCTTCAGCACACTCCCTCAGAACACGAGGGGGTATTCCGTCCGGTCCATGCGCCTTACTCACATCCAACCTGGATAACACACCGGCAACCCTGCGAGTGGAGATTATAGGAAAGTGCATAGGTTCAGTAGGAGATGCAGGGGTAGGAGGGGTAGAGTGGGAATCGTCTAAGGTGGAATTAGAGGAGAATAAGGTGCCAAAGAGGTTGGCTTTCTCAGGGGGAGAGTTGGCTATAGAGTTATTGGGATGGAAGAGGGGAGGAAAAGAAGGAGTGCAGAAGTTGTTACAGATGTTTTTAGCTAAGGACCAGAAGGATTTACTAGAGGAAGAATTAGTCAGGACAGCAGTCTTTCTTTTAATAATATTCCGCTTGGCCCTACGAAGAATAGCCTTACAACGATTCCTAGAAGTAATGAAAGAGGTGTGGGTAATAGGAGAAGTAGATAGTTTCATAGCTCGATATGCCCTATCTCTCACCCTGCAAGCAAGAGAGCAGGAGCGATCAAACCATGATTGTAATGTGAAAGTTTTGGTAGAAGATGGGATAAATGCACTCATACCGCCCTGTATAACCCCAGCAATGCTGTCAGCACATACTGAGGCATCCCGAGTGGAAAAGCAACATTCATCCCAAGGAAAGTCGGTGAAGAATTCTCGCAAGGATTGCCAGCTTGCCCTCCGATAGTGCCATAGTTGACGTTTAGAGAGGGTGGGGGAGGTGGTCGTGCCCAGTTTGATTTAATAGAAATAAGGTTGTGATCAGAAGACCCTAAGGGGGCAAAAATTGAGTATGAATAGTGTGAGGGGTTAGAGGTAAAACAAAGATCAAGAATGTTAGCAAGTTGATCGTGTCGATCAGGAACGCGTGTAGGGTGTTTGATTATTTGTTCCAAATCATTAAGTAAGGAAAAAGAGAGTGCCTCAGCTCCACCTGGGTCATCCTTGTTGTTCCTCAATGCCTGCAGAGAGGATGCGTACCCTTCTCCTCCACAGTAAGTTCAATCTACCCTGGAAACCTTATGTACTTCTTCCCACTGAACCAAAGTACAGGGTGTACTGTATAAATGCAGAGAGCTTGCTGTATGTTGTATTTACATTTATGTATTTTTTGTCATTTCTGCTGGGATGACATTGAAAAAATACTGTATATCAATTTACATGATATAATGATACAGTACAGTATTTTTTGTTAATACAGACCCTTGAGTCACCATCACTTGATACGTCACTGCCATTATTTCATGGCATCCTAAGTTACTCTGAATTTTCTGTACAATGCAGTCAAGTCCTTTATTTCATGATGCAAGCCCAGAAAAATTTAATTAATATAATTAAAAAATGTAAAAAGCCATACATAGTTTCTTTTAATCATCAGAGAAAGATACTTACAACCTTTACATATTGTTTGTGTGCTTCAATTGCAGCACGAAGAGTTCTTGTCTTTTCAGTAATTGGACAATCCTCATCAAGCATGGCTTTGGCAAAGGCAACAGATTCAATGGAACAGGAGCGGATTGTCTCTGTGCGACCGAGGAAGAACTTCCTTGTTGAAGCAGACTCATAATGGGCGCCGGGTTCACCATGAATTCTGAGGAAAATTCAATATTACAAGTACAGCATGCTCTTCAATTCGTGGGGTTTAGGTTCACACAATGGTCGCAAATTGCCAAATCTGCAAATAAGCAAATAACATTTGCTGACCAAGGGGGGGGAAGCGGGTTTACATTTTTACTTGTGTACAAAGAAATGTATATTCCCTTTATGTGTTTGCCTTACGGCAAATATTTTTTTATTTGTATTGTATGTATATATGTGTGTGTGTGTGTGTGTAGACACACACACACAAAACACAATACTAATGAATAATAATGGGAAAATCCTCTCACAAAAAATCAGAAAAAATGTAGTATTAAAAATGTTGAGTCTACCCTCAAGTCTACTCCATGCTTTGTTATTAATAAAGCAAGGAATAGACTTGAGGTGGGCCAACACTGTTTCTGATTTGTTTGTGTGTGTGAGTAAAGAGAGTACTGTCTCGGCAAGATGGCACCCTGTCCCGACCGCGAAAATACCGGCAACTTTAAAACTACCCGCAGACATTATTGGGTACATCCAGGGTGTCATCTGTGAATAAAAGAGGACCGCGAAATAAAAATTTGCGAATTATTCGGGCCTACTCTATCAAGTTCAAACTTTTCTCTGTAAAAAATTTTCTATGAAATTCATTCTAAGTAACAGAAATACCCTGTACTGTACTTGTTAAATGTACAACTTACAATTGTTTAGTGAAAATTTAGTGTTAATATCAGTTGAAAAGGAAGCCATACAAGTGTTTGTCTTACCTGTAGAATGCGAGCTGAATGGCCATTTGGATGAAACTGTCTGGACTTAGCTTTTGAGATTTGATAAAGTTCTTGCCAAAACCAGAAAATTTGAAACAAGTCATCTCTAGGTCACCAACCAGACTGTGGAAAAGGATAAGTAGCTACATTGTACAAAAGATTTGAGAAAATGGGACGGCAATAAACAAATGATAGGCAGGAGTAAAACCTGCAGTAAAGGTGGTTTACTGCAATATCTTATTAAATTTCTGTTAATTCCTCACCTTTCTAGAGCAACTTTAGCATCTTCAGTGTCTTGCTTAACCTCAGCACAAATATTAAACATCAAACGTTGAGGTCTAGAGAGTTCTACTGCTGGAGGTTTTGTGTCATTCATGTCATTCCTGAAAATAAAATGAATAATCACACATTACCATCATGAAAAATGTTGCTAATCCTACACTGTACACCCAAGATGACTTATTTACCAACCCCATGAAGAGTAAAACTCCTATTTAACTGGCTACTGTACTGTATATGGAGAGTAAGTCCGTTACATCGAGGGTCCATTAGATATGGAACCTCCATCTAATGAACTATACAGAGATGACAGTCCGTTATATCGAGGGTCTGTTAAATTCGAAACCCCCATATGGAGTAGAAGTCCTTTACATGGAGGTTTCACTGAAATAAAATACACTACATCTACTTTAATAACATACCCAGTACAGTTTATATATTTGCTACCTATTCACCATCAAAGCATATTTTTCCTACATCACATATATAACACGCATGTTAAGTAAAATTCTAACAAACCTTGTACCCTTAAATATGAGACTTACGTAGAAAACATCACAGACACACCGGTAATACGTACAGTACCAAAGAAATTGTTCTGCCTATGATGCACCATTCATTGTACTGTACCCTGGAGAGTGAGTGTGCTGAGAATGGCAGGGAAGATGAACAAATTTATCACTACTTACTACAGTGAAGGTTGAGGATCTCATTTAAAACTTACTCTGACCCATCTCTTCCTGACGTCCTGTAAAAGAAAATTCAACATGCTTAAACTGCTTTAGCATTAACGTTACAAAAAAAAAATGAATTTTAAGTTACACAAAAAAAAAGCAAAAAACAAACATGCACATTTACTTAGTGTTCACATCATCTCACTCAAGACATGGGACATTAGGTGTGAATCACAAAATTTCTAATATCATAAGGAGTTGAGCCAGATGAGGCGGTCAGTGAGAGGTTTATAAGAAATAATTGTACTGTACTCTTATAAGACATCATTTACTCTTTACCGAGTCATTGTACAGTCGGGGTCAAAAGTCCTCTCCCGCCCAAAATTAAACAGCATCGACCCCCAAATGAGATGAAACAGTTAGGGTAATTCAGTTCAGAGACTCATTCCCGTGACCCAGTTTCACCACGGGGAGCGAACTTTTGTCCCCATCTGTACATACATGGATCAGCTGAGAAAACAGATTAGGGAACTTTTAACAATGAATTTGACTAAAGATTTCATAGTGGTGGGAAGAAGGAATACTGTACAGTATTATATAAATAATACTGTACTGAACTATATTTTATTATAGACTGTGACTAAAAGATTTATATTGAAATGAACCAATTTTAATGAGTTCACCATTTTTCTTCCCTCCTTACAAGTTAAGAGATTATGGCTATCCATTTAAGTCTGTGAAATATTTGCAACAATACTGTGCCAATTTCCATGCAAACATATACTGCACAGCAGCATAACTAAACAAACAACTACAACTTATATTAAACAAAGTGGATACTGCAGAGGGCAAATAAAATCTTAATCTACAACACAATCTTAAACATCTGCACTAATAATGATTAAATAAGCTCCATCTACAGTGTGCAGGTAGATTTATACCACACCACCTCAGGAAAACCAAAACTTCTTTAATAATTAAATCATACAGAACTTAAAACTAATATGATGACATGTTGTGTTCAGCTCTTTAGAGTGCTCAGTTACCTTAGATTCACTGCTCTTATGTGAACACTCGCCCACTCATTCTTACTTCCATTCACCTGTGAAATTGTAATGAGTTTGAATTCACCTCAGCTATGAACTTGCAACTACACAATCAGACTCACTTCCCAATAACCAGCAAAACACCTGAAGGACGGTAGGAATAGATTTGTTCTATTGAGCTACACGCCTGAAGAAGGAGGGCGGCAATAGAGTCGCTCTATGATGGTTTCAGGATAAAGGTCACATTTGTAACCTAAGCCTATCAAGAATAACTCGGATAAAGTTCAACAAAACTAGCTAATGTAAACGGGCAAAAGAGGTACAAGTGTTGGACCTCTCTGGGAGAACACCAAGCTTACCCAGCAGAGGGACAGATCTAACCTAGCTTATGCAGTTGCTTGTATCTTCTACAGAGATCAGGAGCTTGAAGATCTTAGAACATCCAGAATTAAGGATCATCATGTTGCAATTTAAAAAAAGAATACAAAAGAGAAAAGACAGAAATGATGTTAAACGTGGAGATTATTGAATTAAGCTTTTTAGAATTTCTTTATGCCGTAAGGCAATTGATTTATCCAGCATTAGTGCAAGAGGAAACTGGATTCTGGGAAACCTGTGATGTTTGGTAGTGAGGGTCACACTGGATAACCCTAAACTGAACATTCAGATTTTTTTAATTAGTAAATTTGATAACAGTTTATGGGAAGTGAATGTGGTGTTACCCTCAGTGTACTACTGTTACCATAAATGATGTTATGGATTATGCTGCTTCACCCCAAAGATACATGGATTTCAACTCATTAAAAACTATGAATACTAGAGGTCAGAGGTTGTGTATGGTGAATAGGCATACATTTACTAAATCATGAATCCTCAAAGTATGCAAATCTAGAAACTGCAATGTTGAGGGTTTTTCCAATAGTGATTTGCAGCCTTGTGTGTCAGGCTAACCTTGTAAGAGACAGAAATGTGTGGAACTGTGGAAAAAGATGACAATAATACTGCTTTGTATACTAGATTATAATGGATGGTTATTTGGATTTTTAACACAATCGTCACTGTCACAGTGAACGCCTCCAATCAGCATTCACAGAGAGTGTTAAACATGTCCCAGTAGGCTTTCAGTCATGATGGAAGAAACACATTTGTTGCCATCCCTAAATTATATAAAATTAGATGAAGAGATACTCTGAAGTGAATCAATATTGAAGTATAATTAGTGTAAACAATAAAAAAAGATAGTAGGAGCGAACAGATCGACTACTGGTCACTCATACACTCGCTCCTCCCCCACTACTGCATCGCTCAACTGGGCGGCCTCAAGATACTCACTTTAACACCCCACCAGATCAAAACAAAGGTATATAAAGGATTGTTTTCTTTTTTCATTTTTCATACATCTGTATGCATGTCTTTAATTTTGTAAGTAGAGTATATTATGTTTTTAAGTTTAATTATTTGTGTGTTTTTTGTGCACACAGCAGTAGCCAGCTTTTCCCTTATTTGCAAATAAAGGGTTAAAGAAGAATAAAGGCCACAAACAAATACTGTATATTCTACTTTTTAGCACTTTTTGGGGAACACACATGATATCAATGCATATAGCTGGGTAATGTGAACTGATGTGGGCAAAAAATTTATAACTCGACTTTCTCATGTGAGGGAACACCATAGCAGAACACATCAACAGCACTGAGAAAAAATGACAGTGAATAAATGAATGTCTATTTGCTCTTGGTTCCAGCCACTCTGTATCATCCAAGTAAAAGGCTTGCATGACTGGGATAAATAAGTTACATTCACTTTTATATAAAGAAATACCATCCTTTACCCCAACTGTAAAAAATATAGTAGGACAATACTGGACAGTATCAATATAATTATAGTAACAGTAAATCACTTCAAGACACATTACAAAATTTGAAGTAAAGAATCATAAAATTCACTTGGTATTTAATGTGATATACTCACACAACATCCATGATATGGTCCATCAGGTTAGCTACTGGAGGTCCCTCAGCTGGAGTGTGTTCATACGTCAACCCAACTGCACCCTTCTTGCCAACAATGAACTGTTGAATGAGTTACAAAAATCAAGGACTGATCCTGGAAGCCTCATTTCACTGGCGAGTTGTTCCAAAGAGACTTGTGATTTCTTCCATCAAATTTATCGGTTGCAACACAGGCTAACACATAAAACTGACAAATGGCAATAATTTGAACAATTAGTACGACCGCCATTACAACACAAGTTTTCAAGGGGATCTGGGTGGCACTTAACATTGAGAGATGATCAAGTCTTGGCATTAATGCAGTTTCTGCATGAATGCTTCCTTGTTCGTAGTCATCCATACTGAATATTCAAAATCCAAGATCAGTCCAGGTAAACTGCACACAAAAACTCAAGGGAGGAGGGAGGATTTAGTCTCCTGGACCCAACTCAGTTTTGAAACAAACATAACTCTTAAAATGTTATAATGCTCAATGTTCTGGGGGAAATTTTTACTAAGGTATATAGTAAACCCTCTCAATAACAAACTTCTCAATACAGTACTGGATATTCCCAATAATGGACAGATTTTGGTCTATAATAATAAACGGACTCAGCCGGTAAGATCCAATAATGGGCACACTGTCCACTATTGACCACATGGTCAGTTGGTGCATAATTACAGTAAAACAGAGAAATATGATACAGTATAGTCTGGATTTACGAGGTCGATTGAACCCGTGGAGGTCAGCGTAAAACGAGAAACGCGTAAACAAAATAACAGAACATATGGAATTAATTGAAATAGAGACTGGGCCGACCCCCAAACTACACTTTTTCCGACACAATACGTATGTTGTAATAAAAATCACATCTTAATTTTATGATGGTATGTTCACACAATTAATATTTAAGAGAAATACAGTTGCCGGTTAATGTCCATTCAAATAATGGACCCCCCCCCCTCTCTTCCCACGCTTGCTGGCTCCTCCCTCTCTGAGAAATGTTTGGGTGAAAACAGTAGGCTTACATGTTTAGTAATAAATAATACCTCAGACTAAAGTTAGGATAATATAATTGACATTGCTGGATTCCTTGCGAGACAGGGAATATTTTGAATATAAACGTCATATATTTTGCACAAAAGATAAAATTTTTGCTCTTTCTAATAAAATTCTTAAATTAGATCTAAAATTTGTATGTTTAATGCAAATTTT